TTTGAATTTTTAATGAATATTTGAGATTAGATACGTTAAGATAATTCTTTAAATACAATAGTTATACTATAGCATTCATTTTTATTGTGATGCAGAATGACATAGATGCTACAGCATTAATTGTATATATTAATTAAAATATGATAATTATCAAATTTTAATCGCTATGTATAATCCAATATTGCTGAAACTATATTAACACGTTCGAGGACAGTAAAATTTTCAGAAAGGTACATAAATAGACAGTCATTTTATTTTTAAATTGATTGTGATACCTAAAATTTAATTAATCACTGTTTATAAGAGTAGTTACCTTAAACAATATGGGAATATAATATATTCATATCAAATTCTCGTTGTATTGGTGGTCAGATTATCATATTTTAATATTTATATATAATGAATGCTATAGCTGCCACGTCATTATGTATCGCAAGGAAAATGGATGCTAAAGCATTCACATTCGCGGGCGTGTTAATAATATTGTATTATCTGTAATAGTATCGGAAACATAAATTTTAGTATTATAAGGTACAATATACGTTATCAGTGTCGCATTTCAAGCTGTTGGCTTGTTCATAAAAAATCGTTGAATGTGAGTTAGATGAAATCTTTCAAAATAAAAATGCTATTGTTTAAGAAATTAAAGCCAGAAATAATAATGTTGATTTTGTTCTTAGGGTTCTTTAAGCCGAGCCTTCAAATTAAGACCGCGTTCGGATAAGATGATATCTCCGACGCCTTCGAGTTCCAGCGAAGGAGCATACTCCGTTGGACCTGTCTTCTACGCACCACCATGTCCACCAGGCCCGCCGCCCAGCCACAGGGTGTCTGCACCCCCGCCGTCGGTAAACGACAGTTTACAGCGATCAGCTTTCGCCCAGCATAGGAGGGTAAAGAGTATCAGCGATATCGAAATTGCTGCAGCAATTTCATCGGTTTGATAAGTTTTCATCTCGAATAATTGTTTTTATAGATTTTTTTTATTGAGATTATATTCGTATCATTTGTTATTATTAAAATAACAAAAGTGATTTAAACTGTGAGCACGTAAAATTAATAACGAATCGACTGTTAATATATCAGTTAATATGCTCGTTATTTAACACCAATTGCTGATTTATTTATTATTATTTATTCTATCTGCTTTTATCTCTTTCTCAACTGATTTTATTCCCTCTTAGTTATAGTTAGTAAAAAAAAATCGTTAACTTTTACTATTAGTCTCTCTTTTTGGTTTTGCCTTGAAAATCCACTAATGAAGTCTGCAAATCAATCTAATGAGTAAATCTTAATCTTAAAAATTATTATTATGACCATAGCACATCAATTTTAAGCCTCAATATTACACAAGTTTTATTCGACCAAATGAAGAATCTATAAATAATGATAATGATATTTTAATCAATAATAATGTTAAGAATTTTTTCAAATCAAATAAGCATAAACCATTATCTTTATAATTTTACTCATAACAAGGATAGGTTCTTAAAAGTTTTTATAATTGTAATTTACACATGAAAAGCAAGTCGATTCTGCTGAATAAATATTAATTAATAGAATACTCGCTTATAGGATCTGCTAAAGTTTATCTCTGAGTCCATCTAAAAGACTTTTCATCTATTTTTTCTATATAAAATAAGATTGAAGATAATCTTTGATAATTATGACATTCTCAAGATCAATAATGATTTTTTGAAAAAGAGACTAATATTCGCAAGTATTTATACATTTATTCAATAATATAATATTATTTTTAATAATATATCACTGATCAAACTTCTATTGGATATCATAACTTCTCTTAATTTTAAGAGTTGTTATATAATTTATTGGATTTTATTATCATTTATTTTTATAACAAAACTATTTAAATGCATGAAAAGCACAAAGCAATATATTGGTTAAGAATTATAAATTATTCGTAAATTTAATTTAGGTTAATAATGTGTATTTAAGTAATATATGAATCATAAGATCTGAATTTAATCATATATAGGTTTTCCTACTTAACGTACCAAAGGAATATATAAAACACCAAAGAATTCCATGAGAAATAAAATCTTCAAACTTCTAACCATTCCCAACTTAGATATTAAGCTATAATTTTATTACACACATTTTGTTATTTATTTAAGTATCCTAGTCCATTAATATTATTTATTGATTGATTCAGAGTATATTTACTCATGCTTTTAATGTTTGTATCTTATTATGTTGTTTATCTATTTATCCCAATATTTGTTTTTGAAAATCATTATTAATAAATATAGTGAATTTATATTGGACAATTATTTAATATATCAAAAATGAAATATGAAAGTATATAAATTTAAAATGAAATTTGCAAAATTCACCACATCTAATTATGAACAGCACTATTCTGATTATTTTAATGTTTAATCAATTGCCATGAAAAGGTTCAGACAACGCATTAAAGATGAAAGAATAATATAAATCGATACAAGAAAAAAATTTAAGTGCATCAAGGAATATAAAGTGGAGTACTATATGTAGGGATAAATTTATATATGAAATTAATCAATTAAAACATACGAGTAGCTAGTGTAATGCTTTGAAGGAGATAAAGAGAAGTACTACTATATTTGGGTGACACATGTGGATATAAAATTATTCAAATAAAACATACAACGAGTAGCAAGTGTAAAAGTACATATTTGCACTATAATTTAATAAAAAAAAAAAAATAATTTAACAAAAACAGGTTTAACCACTAGGTACTATATATGGGTAATATAAATCAGATTTACACCATAATTTAGCAATAAAAGATGTAAAAACTTAGTAAGAAGGAGAGGCTAGCTCGTAGGTAAGTGGGTAGAATAACTAGACATTAGTCAGGAGTTTCAGGTTCAATCTCGTTTTGAGCATCCTAGAAGTAGTGATAACAGTTTTTGCTTGGGAATGGACATAGCAATATGTTTACTAGTGAGAATAGCCCTTTTCCAGCAGTGCTGCATCAATAATTATTCCCTTAATACCAAAATTGTAATAACTGACAGACAACTGTTTCAGTTGCTATCTGTAAAACCAACTAGAATTGGGTAAACTAGACTAAAAACTAGACTCTACAAAGATCTAATTGCTGTTTAAAATAATAATATAAACATTAAAAAAAGGACTTTAACTACAAACGGAGATAAGGTAAAGTATATATTATATATAAAATATATCAAATACAGTAGAACTTCGATTATCCGAACCTCAGTTTTACAGATTAGCAATTATCCGGACGACCAACCACGACTAATTTATATGCATGTACATACCTACAATTAGAGTTTTTGCACGATTAATGCTGCATTGTAGTAAATGTATGTAATGTAATGTAATCTAAGAAAATATATATGTACGTACATAAGGAGGTTTCAATTCTTAATAAACATTATTTTGGTTGATATCTATGTATATATTTGTTATTTTTAATAAATACGCAACATTTTTCTTCATACATTCGATTATCTGGATGCATATCTACTTCTGTTTTGTAAAAATATTAATTACAATTAAGTATAAGTATGTATGTGTGTACCCAAGCGTTCTGTGTAGGGAATGCAATACCGGTATACCGGTATACCGGTATACCGAATTACCGGTAAACCGCCTGATTTTTCGGCGGTATTTTTACCGGTATTTATTCCAAAAATAAATGTCAAATATTATCTCAACTCGTCATTAAACTGAGTATTTATTGCTTTCAAAAGGCTTCATATCGTGTTACAATAAATAGAATTGGACTGATAGATAATGATGTTTGTTTCATCTTTTGTAAAAATGTAACGGTTTTTTAAGTAATATTTGCGCCAAAATATTTTATATCATACAGATTACCCCTGCGTAATCTTTATTTTCTCCAACTTCATACATAATAATTATGATAATTACTAAATATTTTTGCTTATTACAATTATAAAATATTGGTTTTCGAGAACGTTTCGAAGTTTGAAAATACTATAGAAGAATCACATTGTTTTAAATAACAATACTCAACAATTATAGTAACTTATCATTTATCTCGACAAAGAATCCGATCTTAAATTAGTGTAGAAAAAAATTTTTTTTTAAATATTGGAGATTATGCTAATTTAACACATCGGATACAGAAAATCAGTTTATTATAATAATGTAATATGATCTTTTATGAGTTTTTGGTCTTTCTCACTCATAAGTTTGTTTTTGGTGAAAAGTACTCAATATACTTGATAGTGATAATGAATTAATTAAATTGCATATACTTTGTTAAATTATTATTCAAAAAAATAAACTTATTGTTTTATTTTATTGTTTAGTTGAATATAGTTGTAGTTGTATACATTTTTTTATATTTGTACTAGTAACTTTCAATTTTGTTTACGTTTGTTTAAGATAATAAAAATACCGGTAATTTACCAGTATTCCGGTTTTAAAATGAAAAATTACCGAAATACCGCTATTGAAATTTTCCATCGGTATTGCATTCCCTAGTTCTGTGTATATATGTGTGTATAATAGTAATAAGTAAAAATATATAGATGTCTTAATGTAAGCCTGTTACATAAAATTTAGATTTTATTTTTGTTATAATTTCTGTGATCTCTCATACCAGAACAATTGTCTGACTGATATACAGTATGCATGAATTATATCAAATAAATAAATAAATAAATAAAAATATCGACAACAATTAGTCCGGTTAATCGAGGTCCTACTTTAATACATACAAGAAGTAGCATTTGTAGCAGTACTTTTGTACTAAAATTTATTAAAAATATATAATAAACTTAGAAAAAAAAATTAACTACTTTTAAAAGAAATTAAGTAAAGTACTATAATATAGGTTAGAATTTCAGATAAATGTCAAATAAAACATACCAAACAATCGGTAGATGGCGCAATGTGTTCACTCAATATTTCTTTAATACGCCGACAGTGCTGCCCCCACTACATCGTTTACTGCTTAAGATGCGCATTCTGAATCTGACGCGCAGAGTTCAGTTGCATCATAACCTAGTGTTAGTGCGTGGCTAGCTGTCAAATGCGTACGTCAGTCGCAATGCGTGTTTTTATAAATTTGTGATTATTTTAACCTAAGTTGGGTTCGTCAGTATTTATCGTTTTAAATTTAGTGATATACTTATGAAGGAAGGTTCGGGAATTGAAAAGCAACCTTTGAAAAATTCTAAAAGAAAAATGAGTGTGCAACAAGGAGACGTCCCGAATAGTACATCGTCGCATCAATTAATTGACGATGATGATTCGGTTAATTCAAGACAACCTATTCAAAATGAGATTACTGAAAGAAATTTGAAAACTGTTACGAGGACAGAATGGACGACTGTTCTTATATTGTGTTTTATAAATCTCATCAACTACATGGACAGATATACCATGGCTGGTAAGTGACAAGTATATAACCTTTTTGATTTGAATGACAGTTGTGATCAGATGATTCATTCGTTGTAACGGTTTTGTTTACATTCACTGCGTTGCGTATGTCTTATCATGCCTTTAAAGTTGGCTTTATCTTAATCATGTTTCAAATGATCAACATTGTCTTTCATTAAGAGATAACGTTCTCTTTATGCGGTAATTTTATTCTACAAATGAAAAATATTGTATTCAAATTATTATTTTGAATGTATCCTGATTTTGGGATTCATAAGTTCCGTATCAACACCACGCGATTCGGATACCACGTGTGTCTATTTTTTACCTGAATTTTAATAAAAATTTAAAATTTTACTATTTTTTCTAGATTATAAAAATACACCTGATGTTCGGGGAGGCGGGGGTAATTTTAAATATAAATATATATATATATATATATATATATATATTAAATGTTAAATATGAACAATACAACACTAAGATTTTTAACACACACTTTATATAATAATTACAGACGTTTCGAGACCATGGAATGCCTGCCTCATCTTCAGTGTAATTTCAAAACAGTAAAAATTATATACTGTTATACTATTTAATATTTTATTTAAATTATATATATTTATTTTGTTTTAAACAAAAAAACACCAACTATTTCTTACAATTTCTAAAAAAAATTAAATATAATTTAAATAAAATATTAATAAATGTAATAGTATATAATTTTTACTGTTTTGCAATTAAACTGAAGATGAGGGAGGCATTCCATGGTCTCGAAACGTCTGTAATTATCAAATAAAGTGTGTGTTAAAAATCTGAGTGTTGTATTGTTCATATTTAACATTTAATTATATATATATATATATATATATAAAATATAAATAATAGCACTATAAATAGTACTAAGTGTGAACCGTTTACATTTTATGTAAATGTAAAAACTTCTGAGATTTTTGAATTCTTTCTCTTAAACACATATAGAAACTTTATTGAAAAATTTTCCTTAGATATTGGCATACTTTGCAGTGGGTAAACCACGTACTTTCACACTCACAATCAGTGCTACTAAAAAATTTTTAGAAATATTTTCTATGGCTAAACAATGTTTGCCGGGTCAGCTAGTGATTCTTGGTGTATAGGGAACCAACAATACATTGAAAACAAGTTGTCCTAAATTAATCAATTTTTTTGTTATTTGTCGCATTGTTTTTGGTTTATTATGCCGAATAATTTCAAGAGTTTCAAAAGGAAAGCCAATTTTCATCTGGATTTATTTATATTGCTTGTTGCAAGACTGAATACATAGGATTCATTGTAATGGCTGGTAACTATAGTATTGTGTGCTTGTTAATGAAAATTGCATATCGTTTTGACATTCTAAATGTATATTATTAATTAATAATGCAAAGTTTGATAACTTAATATTAGGTTGTGGTTAATTGAGGTTGTTGGTCCTTTATGTACAAACTATCCATTTACATAGTTTGCATAATTTAAATTATAATTTTACACTTATCTGAAGAACTTTATATCATTCTATAATTTTCAATATTTGAAATGAAATTAAATCAGTTAAATGGTTTATCTTAAATATTTTTTCTATATTCAAACAATGATTGATCTCGCTTTTCTTGAAGTCCTGGAACATGATAAAAGTTTTCTAAAGACCCCACATCCATTCTATTTATTCTATCATTTTTATTTTGAATGGGTGTTCTGGAAAATATTCATTGTAGCTATAAAGTTTCTATTTTAATTCAATTGATAAATCTATGGTTGTTTTTTAATAAAGTCAATAATATCTTTATAGTATCTTTATTTAAATAGTGATTATATTTGTAAATCTTTTTTCCATGTATTTAATTCTTTATTATGTATTTTCTAATTCATTCACCTCATCCAGTTGTTATAGCCATTTTCATTGAAAAATATTGATCATATTTGTGCTTCCAATTATAATAGCCCTTTTGGGCACTTAAATGTCAGTATATAAATGGTCGAATGTGGTTTTAATGAGGACATAATTAAGTGGTATAATTTTATATAAATTGTGAAATATTTGTATCATAAATATATATTAGTTTGTTGCGATAATACAATTTATTACCCACTATGGTGGTCAGTTGGCCCCATATACCATGCTCCCTCCAAATTACGATAACCAAAAGCTTTTAACATTGGTTAAAACGTGTATCCATATTTCAATGAGAGCATTGAAAACAACTTGCAACTTACAAGTTGTTTATAAGGTTGCTAATTAAATTGAATCAAGCGTTTATTATATAAATGCAAAACCATAAAGAATCATTATTTACTCTTGTCTTGACTTTGTTTGATAAAAATATTTCTGGAAACCGGTTTCTTCCTCGCGTTTCTTCTCATACAGAAATGGTAATGGGTCGCGATGGACCCCGTCGCCTGACATGACTATAAACATCAACATACGATTTATGACGGAAGGATTTTTCATTATTAAAGAATTGTATCAAAGATCCCGCAACACTGTCGATTTATATCGGCAACAAATCCTTCTCGAATAAATCTCTTATGTTATTTCAGTAGAGGTCTTTTACAAGTTACATGACGCCTTTAGCACGCTCCAAACATAGTTTGGACACCTGGAAAAATGTAGAAATAGGAGTATAATTGAAATATGTTTATGAGAAGTATTTCTATTATTATCAAAAGATTACATTTAATTTAGAAAATATCGGTTACAATGAAAAATTGTAAAATTTATAAAAATCATTGCAATCATGTGATATTCATATGAACGTAGTTTTCTGTTGTATATATCTATTTTTTGTATAGGAAAGGAAAGGTTTTAACACTTACGGGACGGTACCGATTTCAAAACAATCTACTGCATCAGCTGTAAACTTGATTTCATTCCGTATGTTATACAATTTGTTAATAAAAATTTGTGGTCATTGAAGGACATACATTTATAATATTAATTTATTTTTGATCATTTTATAAAGAATGGTGACGTTCGAAACAATTTCCAAAATGCATAGCTGTCAGAACAGACAATACAATCCCTTTTTCTTTCTCTCGCATTTAAAATATGCCACTGATTAGTCAGTATATTTGTTCATTCTTTTGTTGCCGTAATGGTTTGTTTTTTTTTAATATATTGTCTAATAATTCATTTGTAAAATATAAAGTGAAACAATCTATTGGATGTCTTATATTGCTTGGTATTTGTATTGAAGGAAAATCGACACATTCGCTAATGTCTTTCTACTCTTCATTTAATTTGTCGAACTTCTTCTTTTTGTTGGTTGGATAATATCATCATCACATTCATCACTATCTTCGGTGCGAATAGTAATTTCGTAAAATTTGTCTGTATGAATGTCTATTTGAAACTCATCTTCACTACTGCTTAATTCACAAAATTTACCAGTCGTTTTGCATATTTAGAAGCGCTCGGTCGTTTTAAATAATAAAAAAAAAGTCTATATAGCAAAGAAAAAGGCTAAAATTACTATTAAAATAACTTGAAATTATTTTCAAAATACAACATTGTTTATCACTGTTATATTTAATTTATTCAACGTTTTGCTGCAAACTGAGTCATTGTTTATAAAATAGTCTGTGTCTCACAGGGTATGTTTGTCCACTCAGGTGGATAGCCGTCCCCAAAGGGTTAAAACATGCTTTTGACCGTCTTTTGTTTGTATATGTTGGATTCATTTTAAATAATGCCAACTAACCCTCCGCTTCTCTCTGGCTTCTTGTCCCCACGGAAACCGCTGTTAAGCACTACTTCATGGGGGGAGGGTCTAGATTCTATTATTCCCACTTTTAATCATACTTTTGTCCTAATCGGTATCATTTGCTCTTCTTCCCGAAGTATGCACATCTATGAGGACTTCTGTAATGAATGTGTTGATGTTTCTGTAATAGTTTTGTTCATCTGTGGCTAAATAATGTATACGTGTTTTTATATATATTTCTTTGTTTTTCAAATTATTATGTCGGCAAACCAACTGTTTTCCAAGTATCAGATAAAATTATATATCAATCAATCACAAATTTTAAATAACATTTTCAATTTAAGCAATCAGTGACGAACAAGCTTTATTTTACGATTTGTTGTGCTCCATACGTTTGCGTCGTAATAAACTTACGAGTAGTAAAATCATAATCGCGTTAAATTTATAACCGTGATTTTGTAAAACGAGTTATATAACTTTAAAGCAAAGTTTGTAATAAGTACCAACTTATTTTAGTGTAAAGAATTTTATATCTGATCTCCGAAAAGATATATTCATCTTCCTCTTAAGTGCACATATTAAATAACTAGTATTCTAAGGTTATAAAATGATGCAAGTGTAAGTCCTAAATATATGTAGTACTTTGTAAAGATCGAATATAAAGTTAGGAATTTATTTATTGAATAATATATCAAAGAATTACGGTATTTATGTAGGTAGGGGGAATAGAAATAACTTCGTATAAAAGTTTGCGACACAAATATAGTTGAATTTGAATATCTCTCATATTTGTAATTAAACTAAAAAATCATTCTGCTTTAAGGCATGTTCTAACTTCTAGATATCCAAAAAATATTTTCTTTTTTTTTTCATATATATTTGAATCTATTCCATAATAAAATATCAGCAAATTTTTTGATAGTCCTTTGTAGAATGTCTAAATCGGATGCCAATCCATTGTTTGGGCGTCCAGGATGGTATCCTATAGGGTCCGCCATCTAACTTTTTTTGGCAGCCATTTGCAATTTTTAGGCAACCATTTAAAATTTGGGCAGCCATTTGCAATTTTTTGGCAGCCATTTGTAATTTTTGGCAGCCATTTAAAATTTAGGCAGCAATTTAAATAAATCTAATTTTCATTATTAATCGGAAAGATTATACTGTTTAATAAAAAAAAAGTTATTTGACGGACCCTTTATTTTACTGTTACATGTCCGAAAGTGGTCTTTCATGCTTTAATCTTTCATTCCTGTAGGAGGTGTTTTACGCATGAATTTGGGTAGTTTTC